AAATTTTATATACATTGACATCGTATATATTACTATCATAGTTGAATGCATGATACATATACAAAATTTGAGTTTTAGATTTAAATTTGAATTATGTGTCATATATCAAATAGTAAAAATGTATACGCTGTCAGTGCATAGAATATTAAATTTTTTTCAAAAAATAAACTGTAGCGATTTAATATATGTGAAGTAAAAAGATTAATAAAAAACGCGTTCACAAAAAAAATATTAATTTTTTTTTTGGGTGAAAAATCTCAATCTAAACAAGGCATTAATTTTTCCACTGCAAAGAGTAAAAAGGTAGAAGCCTTGGAAAAAAGAAAAGAGCCGCCTACGACCCCTAAATAACGTTAGTCTTTTTTTTTTTGGGTAGGACTAAATATCGTTAGTCAAACAAAGGCAACATTAATAAACATCAAAATAAACAAATAAAAACCAATTCAGTAACAGGATTGCATATAGGATTGCCACTACAGCGAAACAAGAGGTCTTTCCCACTACAGCCAACAGGATTGCCTTTTCCCCCTATCTTCAATTCTCCATCAGCCAGGGCAGGACAGATTACATATAGCACAAGGATAAAGTTGCACAAACCCAGGTAGAATAGAAAACTAGTAGAGAAAAAAAGGAGGGGGGGAGCAGGCTGCAGAGAAGATGTCTGTTGTGATGGCTGGAGTTGGGGTGCAGCCCAGATGGGTGGGCATAGGGATGGCTTCACCTCTATCTACTTCTTCTTCTCCTGGTATTAATAGCAATGGAAAATTCAGAATTAAGATGGCTGTTACTCCAGTTGACGAGAAGAAAAAGGCTTACACTCTTCAGAAATCTGAAGAAGCCTTCGGCAAAGCCAAGGTAAGCATATATCATCTTCTTGCATACTGATAGTGCTTGATTGTTGGGATAAATAGGATGACTGAGTTTTTCTTGTCTATTTTCAGCTTTTTGTTTTATTGTTTGAGAATCTGGAGAAGGGTTTTGCATAGAAAGAGAAAAAGATTTGGGCTTTGATTGGTATCTGCAATGTGTGTTTGATATCTGAATGTCAGTGTGAATGTTAATGTTATGAGCCAAGGAAAATGTTGATTTTACTGCACTGGTTTATTAATATTTCTGCAAATGTGAACTATTTAATGTAAATATAATCAGATATGCGGTTGAATAAACATGATAATGGTTTGCAAGGCTGCTTTTTTCTTGGAAGGACAAGGAGACCACACTGTAGTTGATTATGAAGTGAAAAATGCAGCAATTAAGAGAAGGATGAAAAGAAGTTTTAGAGAAAGATGAAAGGATTACAGGGAATGCGCTGTTCGGTTTTTGGAGACATTAAGAAAAAGAAAACTAGTAATTTAGGTGATAATAAAGTCAGTCTTTTGCTTCTTAGGAGCAAGAGGCTGGGGAAGAAAAGAGGAGGAGGGGAGGTTTAGAGGTTCTCTTGAATGAACAAACTGACTGGATAATGAAGAATGACCTGTGGTAACTGTGAGTTCCTGCAAATGAGTTTCCATTCCAGTCTTCTTCTAAGACAAGGAAATTTAAAACATCAAGTGCGCATTGCTGTAAACTTTAGAACCTATTAGACAATTTACTCTTCAGCCGTGAAATGATCAGGCTATTGACTGCGTATACACAAATTAAAGGGATATTAGTTCCTAGTTTCCTGCTGTTTTTCGAAACATACACTTGCTCATGAGTAAGGTTTACAGTTGATCTATTTATTTTTGTCATGCCCGTAACTGTTGTTGAGAGTGAAGTGTTCGTGTACTTAGAGTTGGGACAAATAGTCAATAGATTATTTGAAAGCTGTCCAAATACCTTCCACCACAACCAATTTACAGACCTTGAAAGTTAAGAGGAGGCTTGGAGTTGTTCTTGCATGCTCTTCACCTCACCTCATTCATAAGTGACACTATACTGCATATTGTAAATTACACCCTTTGGCTTGCTGCTTTTATAATGGCATGCACAGACTTTAGAATTCTGTTGTAAACATTAAGCTTTTGGCAGCTTTGGATGGATAGAGACATTGAGCATCAAAAGACTTTACATTGAGTGTGCAATTTCTCCCAAATTTTTATGTATATTGGATTTTCTTTGTATTCTTACAAATTTTTATCAAACATGATTTAGTTTTTTTACAGTGCTACTGGGCTTTCTTCACAAGAAAGCATAAGGCTGTTGATGTTATTATCTATTATAGTTCCTATTTTTATATTTAATTTCCATTTAACTCTAGTAAATCAAAACAATTATGGTGATAAATTATGAATGCAGCCTCTTGCTTGAATCATGTGGACTTCCTTTTGTCATAAGTACCCAGTTACACCTTGGTTTTCCTCTATGTTCGCTCTAAAAAGTATAATTTGTTTATAGTTTATTAATGATCTGATCGTGGTATTCATGTTCACAGGAACTAATGCCCGGAGGTGTAAATAGCCCTGTACGTGCTTTCAAATCCGTTGGTGGGCAACCTATTCTGTTTGATTCTGTTAAGGGCTCTCACATGTGGGACATTGATGGTAATGAATACATAGACTATGTTGGTTCATGGGGACCTGCTATCATTGGTCATGCTGATGACGAGGTTATTCCTTTACTAACTTACACTGATCTGAAAATCTCACTAGTTAAGTGTAACCTTGATAATCCGCCACACTTAACATAAGGTGTGTGCAGGCAAAACCCACTTATTTTCTGTTAGATTTCTTGCCCTTGGAATGATCTTTTTTTTTTTTTTCCTTTTTTCCTTTTTTTCATATATTGCATAAGAATTTGTCATCTGCAAGGCCATTAGTATGGTCTTTTCAACTTTTCTGGAAAAAGTTGTAGCCTTTCTTATAGACATTTGTTGCTTTTTGTTTTCCTTTCCAGTTTGGTTTATTACGATGTTTAATGTCGTGTTCTGAGTTAGGAATTCCTCGAGAGTTGTCTCGTCTGTCCACCAAGGGGGAAAACATTTGTTTGTCAATTAGGCTTTTGTTGGTTCCTTCGCATACTCATGTTTGGTTCACTGGTATACCTGCCATAATTAGCTAAAAGGAAGTAGAATACGGTATTGGAAATTTTGTATGATCTACAATTTAGTTGGTAATCTTCTAGATTCTTACTTGTAGGTATTGGCTGCCTTGGCTGAGACAATGAAGAAGGGAACCAGCTTTGGTGCACCATGTCTGCTAGAGAATGTTTTGGCAGAAATGGTCATTGCAGCAGTCCCAAGCATAGAAATGGTTCGTTTTGTCAATTCAGGCACTGAGGCATGTATGGGTGTGTTGCGATTGGCTCGAGCTTTCACTGGCAGGGAGAAAATCATTAAGTTTGAGGGTTGTTACCATGGCCACGCAGATCCATTCCTTGTCAAGGCAGGCAGTGGGGTTGCTACCCTGGGTCTCCCTGACTCTCCGGGTGTTCCAAAAGCAGCTACCTTCGAAACATTAACTTCCCCTTACAATGACATAGAGACTGTTGAAAACCTCTTTAAGACAAATGAAATTGCTGCTGTTATTCTTGAACCTGTTGTTGGAAATGCTGGGTTTATTCCACCGAAACCTGGTTTTCTTAATGCCTTGCGCCAGATCACTAAAGAAAACGGTGCTCTTCTCATCTTTGATGAAGTAATGACTGGTTTTCGTTTGTCATATGGAGGAGCACAGGAGTATTTTGGCATAACTCCTGATTTAACTACACTGGGGAAGGTCATTGGTGGTGGCCTGCCAGTCGGTGCCTATGGAGGAAGGCGGGAGATAATGGAGATGGTGGCACCCGCAGGACCAATGTACCAGGCTGGGACGCTAAGTGGAAACCCATTAGCAATGACTGCTGGGATTCACACTCTTAAGCGTTTGAAAGAACCAGGATCATATGATTACTTGAACAAGGTAACTGGTGAACTTATTCAAGGGATTGTGGATGCTGGAAAGAAGGCTGGTCATGCAATTTGTGGTGGCTATATAAGTGGGATGTTTGGCTTTTTCTTCACTGATGGCCCTGTTTATAACTTTGATGATGCAAAGAAGAGTGATACGTCAAAGTTTGCAAGATTTTATAGAGGAATGCTGGAAGAAGGTGTCTATTTTGCCCCCTCTCAGTTTGAGGCTGGATTCACCAGCTTAGCACATACTACAGAGGATATTCAGCAGACGATAGCAGCAGCTGAGAAGGTTTTCCAACGAATATAACCTTGTCGTGGTTGTTTGTTTACTCATTGCCTCTTTCTGAGGTTGGTCTTTTTGTAGGCGAGGGGCAACCATGTCCTTATCTTTTTTTCTTCAGGTAGAATCTTCATGTACTTTTGATTTATGTTTGTCATTTTTGTTTATTTGAGATGTGTATTTGTACCATTCCTTCTGCACCATGTTAACTACTAATGCTAGTCCATTGAGAAGCATGTTTTCATTCTTTTAACTGCTGATGATTTACACGTTTCTTGGGCTCTTTTACCTCTTGCAATATTGGCTATCAACAATAAGTAGACTCTTCATATAAAAAATCCTATACCAAGTAACACATGACAGAAACAAACCCAAAGGATGACCCACTTGTCTGATGCTAGAATTTTCATATTTGTGTCTAGTGCTTGCTTAGAGATGTTTGTGATTTACGGTGGATTTTTTTCATGTGAAAAATTCAATATTAAATAACATACGATAGGAACCAACCTAGAGTAAGAGCCACTCTCCTTATTTTAGAGATTCCTATAATTGTGTTTATCGTAATTTATGGCATTTTTTTTTTTGGATAAGTGGGCTCTTTTCAACTTTTTGTATGCAGACTCTTTGTATTTTAGTGTTACTAATAAACACTTTGGAAAAGAAACTACGTATATCTCCCAATAGATGCTCTAAATATTCTAAAATTTTTCAAATTTGTCTCACATAATTAACTATAAAAACTATTGATACAAGTGTCACATAATTTCTTCTTTTTTTTTCCCCATGAAAAAACCACACTTCATAGGCCAAGCTGTCATGCATGGATCTCTAAGGTTTATCATCCAAGAAGATAAAGTACAACGTGGGAGGCACAAACATGTACTTATATGAATAAAACATTGAAAGGAATTAGGTATCCAAATGTTACTGAAAACCACGTATTAAACTGGCAATCAATAAAAGCTTAGAAAGCGAGGCATTGCAAAGCCTTTTTATGTCAAAAATAACAACAACCAATTATACTGTTAAGACGATGTCAACAAGAATATGCTATTTTTCCTCACGTCCACAAGGCCAAGAGAGACTCAAGGAGACCCTCTGATGCCTTCAAAGAAGAAAAACCAGAGACAAACCAAGCAATCTCTGAAAAACTTCCCTTTCTCTTTGGCTCTTTCTCTTTCTCTCCAGAATCCAGATTTTATGATCAGTTACCAAGAATTTTGCAGCAGCCTATAGACCCTTCAATCTTGTGTCATCTGGTTTCCTGAATTGCTAGTTACTTATCCAAATATACCTTTCTTGTCAAATAAATCCCAAAGTTTTACAAGTTTGCAATTTAATCACTGCGTGTATTTTGTGTTGAACATTTGTCAATTGAGCTTCAGTCGAAAACGAATATTGGCTGTAGAATCAACAATGTCAAGCAAGCTAAAGAAGGCAATTGGTGCAGTGAAAGATCAAACCAGCATCAGCCTTGCTAAAGTTGGCAGCAATACTACTTCAAACCTTGAGGTTGCAGTGCTTAAAGCAACCACTCATGATGATGTCCCAATAGAAGAGCGGTACGTGAATGAAGTTCTCTATCTCGTTTCTTCCAACAAAGCTTATGCTGCAGCCTGTGCACGAGCCATTGGTAAGCGTATAGGCCGGACACGAAATTGGATCGTAGCCCTCAAATCTTTGATGCTTGTTTTAAGAATATTTCAAGATGGCGATCCTTATTTCCCTAGAGAAGTCCTTCATGCAATGAAAAGAGGGGCAAGGATCCTCAACCTTACTAGTTTTCGCGATGACTCAAACTCGAGCCCTTGGGATTTCACAGCATTTGTTAGGACTTTTGCTCTCTATCTCGACGAGAGATTAGATTGTTTTCTAACAGGGAAGCTTCAGCGTCGATATACTCATAGAGTGAGGGAAGCTTCAGGTCATAGAAACAGCAGGGCTAATGAGCCGGTTCGTGACATGAAACCAGCAATGTTGCTTGACAGAATTTCATACTGGCAAAGATTGCTTGAACGAGCAATTGCTACGCGGCCAACAGGCGCTGCAAAGACTAATCGATTGGTGCAAATAAGTCTTTATGCAGTTGTGCAAGAGAGTTTTGATTTGTACAAAGACATTTCTGATGGACTTGCACTGCTTTTAGACAGTTTCTTTCATTTGCATTATCAGAATTGCGTTAGTGCCTTCCAAACCTGTGTGAAGGCCTCAAAACTGTTTGAGGAGCTCAGTGCTTTCTATTCCTTGTGTAAGAGCATGGGTGTGGGGAGAACCTCAGAATATCCAAGTGTGCAGACAATATCCGAGGAACTAATCGAAACTTTACAAGAGTTTTTGAAAGATCAATCCTCTTTTCCAGCAACTTCCAAGTCCCCAAACAGGCTTTTGCTTCTCCCTGCACTACCAAATTCTGTCGCGAGATCAAGCCGAGGAGATAGTTACGGTGGTCTGTCAGAATTCTCAGTTACAACAGACGGATATTCAGAGAGGACCTCTGAATTTGGTTCACAATGCACGTCATTGGAGGATCTAATAAGTGCGACAGAAATAACCGGAGCACCACCATCCATTTCAATCGATTTAGAGGACTATTCTGATCAATTTAGCAAGCAATTACAGCATGAAAGATCATTCAGATTAAGTGATTCTGGTTCAACGCACTCTTTACCAGTTTCGAGCTCCATGGCTGATCTTGTATCTCTAGATGATTGGCCAGACGAAGAGAAACAATCTCAAGACCAGCAAGAACAGGAAAAAGAACAAAATGACAAGGCAATTCAATCTTCTTCTTCAGCCTCAGCCAAAGATTGGGAACTTGTTCTAACTGAGGTGATAGCAACAACACAAGGGCTGCCTACTCCAACCGACAACTTCAATGCCTTCCCAGAACAAGAACAGCAGACACAAAGATTAGAACAAAATGTCCCTCCTAACTTCACAGCAACTGGTTGGGAGGTTGCACTAGTTGTTTCTCCTCCACAAGCCCCTCAACCAATAACCAACGCCTTCGATGGATCGACTCTGGATAGTTTATACAATCAATCTTCAATGCCAGTATCATCATCACAACAACACTACAATCCCTTTTTAGAGGATACACCGGCATTGCCTAGCATGCCATTTCCAGACTCCATCACCACCACTGCTGCAGCTGCTGATCAGTTCCAATTGGAATTTCCAGCTGCCGAAGCATATTCATTTGCACCGACATTTCAAGCAGCCGAACCTGCAGTTCCTACATTTAAAGCATCTCTTCCACCAACCTTTTCAGCTCAGGATCCAACTGGTACAGCAATGGTTCCAGAGTTGGAGAATGATCCTTTTGCAACAGTTTTTTCGAGCGATCAAATGTTAAATGCTTCGATGAATCAGCAAAATTTCCTGCATGAGCAACAATTGTGGTTGCAAAACCAAACCAAGATTATAGCAAAGCATACCGCTTGATTGAAAAATTTACATGTAATATAATGTACATGTTTCCATTGATTAGATAATGAATCATCTGGCCAAGTAAACTTGTCGCTTTGTTGTACCTGAATTAGCATTCTTGATTATTTTCATGTGATTATTGCTTTATCTAAATGGTTAGCGACTTAATTAAAGATTAGTAGCACAGGTCCCAAAATACGGGACCTAGAAATTAGAATAACTTTTTTTATACACAGTTAGTATAAATATTTTTTTATATAAGCGAGCTTAAATAATATGTTACATAATATAAATTTAAATTTGAAATTCAAATTATGTACACGTGATATACATTAAAGACTATTAATATAAAAAAATCACTATACTATCAATACATAAAAAGTTAATCCAAAAAATTATATAGTTTCTAGTAATTTTCATAGGTTATGTAAATTGATTATAAGAAAAAAGCCTAATATTTGCAATTTTGGTTTGAGAACTTTAAAAAAAAAAGCACTTTGGGCAAGAATTCCCTCTTGTTGCGTGATATCCTTTCCTTCCCTTTTCTTCAATCCAAACGCTGCGTTAAGGCTCGTGAGCTCCAAATTCAAACTGAGTGATAAATACTAGCATTCTAAAACCTCCGAACCAAAAACCCCCACCACAGAAAATGGCCACAACAGCCTCCTCCTCCGCCACTCTTATCCCACTAATTCAGCTCCACCACCACCGCAGCGGCGGCGGCGGCGGCTCCAAAATTAGAACTCTCTTCTGCTCAAAACCCCTTGCTTTCCCTCACCTCCTTATATATTCTCCTTCTCGTTTGAGACTTGGCCGTTCCAATGCGTTTCCTTCTCCTGTTATCTCTGCTTCTTTCAAGGTATGAATGAACTGATCAAAACTTCTCGAAAGTTTGAGAATCCTGTTGATTGACATGCTTTTTTATTTTAAAATTGACAGGAAAATATTGGGAAGATTAAAAAGAAATGGTGTGACTTAACCAGCTTGAATTATTGGGTAGTGGGTGACTATTACCGCCTTGTCGATTCAGTAAACTCCCTCGAGCCTCAAATTCAAGCGCTTTCTGATGAAATGGTTGGTTTCATTTTTACTGTAATCAAATTCAGGATTTATTGTCATTTTCATTTGCAGTATCTGTTTGGTGTTCGAGTTTAATTACAGTGGTTATTACTGTTCTTATTATCTGTTGATTTACGTAGCTGAGTGCAAAGACTGTGGAGTTTCGGCGGCGGTTGGAGCAAGGAGAGACGCTAGCTGACATTCAAGCAGGTTTTCAAAATTTTGGTTTAAGATGTCTTGTATGAAGTTGAATAGTTGTTAATTAAATTTACTTTATGATGCTTGAAATTTTACGCCACAAAGTTCAATTCTTTGAATTGAAAAAGATTCACAATTTGCTAACTTTCCCTGGAGCGAATGAAATTCAAGTCTAATTTGGAAACATTATTGTGTTTTGTTTAATTCTTTTCGTGTTTACATCCTAGTAAAATTTTTGAAAAGGGTGTACTTGGATGTCTATTGGACAAAAGGAGGCAAAGTTTTGGGCATATCTACAGAAAAAAGTGTACATTTGGGGTAAAAGTCAACAAAATTACGATCATCTCATGCATCAAGCAACTAAGTGCACCCTTTTCACAAATTTTCCTGGACACAAAAGAGAATAAAATATTTTCAGATATTACTTTATTTTATCTCAATTTCTTTCAGCTAATTTGTAATTACATGATCCTGTATCTCTTTAATGACGTACTTCTAGTTTTTAACTTCACGTCTTGAAATTTTTGAAAACCTTCGTTTGGCAGTTTCTTTGTTTTACTGGAAATTTTGTTTTGGTTAACAGAAGCTTTTGCTGTTGTTCGTGAAGCTGCAAAAAGGAAGCTTGGAATGCGGCATTTTGATGTTCAGGTCTTCCTATACCTGTTGCCCCTTAATGTTTTTTCTTGCACTAGGATGTACTTCATTAACGTTCACTAGTCTAACCTTGGAGTGGTAACTTTATGCATAGTGATGTGTACTAGATAAATTATTTCGATTCTGTGTAACTGTAATCATCACTATTTCTCTTAAAATGGCAGATTATAGGTGGTGCAGTGCTTCATGATGGGTCTATTGCAGAGATGAAAACTGGGGAAGGAAAGACGTTGGTGTCCACATTAGCGGCCTATCTCAATGCCCTTACAGGCGAGGGTGTTCATGGTATTTTTTCTCCCAGCAGTAGTTACTCTAAGTAAATAATGGATAGGCAAATTTTCAAGGTTATAAAATGTTTTTTGAGAGATTTTGTGCATGCTTGGAGATGAGAAGAACCATTGACAGCTTGAGTTTTGTTTGTGCGAGTGCATTTTTTTTTTATCACCTTCATCATTGCTTTTATCTCTTTTGGCAGTGGTAACAGTTAATGATTACCTGGCTCAACGAGATGCAGAGTGGATGGGACGCGTTCATCGGTTTTTGGGTCTTTCTGTTGGTCTTATCCAAGTAATTATTTATCACAAGTTATCAATGCGCAAATATTCTATTTTTATCGTGCATCCTTTCATGGCAAACAGCTACAGTTAAATAGGTTTGAGTGTCAGTCTAAAATTCTTTATTCTGGAAATTAATTAAGTGAAACTCAAATATCACGGAACTTGAATATGTCTTTTATTTTGTACTTTACCATCAATGTTGAAAATTTTTTTTTCTATGCTTCAATGGATGGTCAGAGTGTCTTGATATGCAGGTTTGTTCTCAAAAAATATTTTTGATGAGATGTTGGTTGCTTGAATGTGTTCCAACTTTTTTTTATTTTCAAGCATTTGGCTAATGTTTGTCATTAGCTACTGCTTCAAAATGGATGAAGCATTCTTGATAACAAATAAATACGTGTTTATGTTGTTGCTCGCATGGTTCTATCGATCTTAAAGCATATATGCATATCTCATCTACACATGCTTGTCCATATGAACATTCTAATGCATTCTTTTTTTTTTGGAAAAAATACACTTAGAGCGTTCACATTTGCATATTGCTTTAGAAGTAAGTGTATGTGTTTTAAGCATTATATACACTATATATGCTGTACCTAGGGGTATGCTGGAGTTAATACATTTGAATTTGAATATTCTAAATGCAGGTTGATCTTAAAATCTTAAAATGTATGTTGTCAAACTCTACATGCATGCAAATCTGAACATTTAGGAGTCAAGTAATAGTTGGTGGTGATTTTGTAGTATGTATACAGTAGTTCTTGAAATGTGCATAAAGTACAAATGTGCAAAATGGATCCCTAGAAATTCATTATCCTTTTGAACTTGAAACAGCCTATTAAGTGTAGACACGTTTTTGATGGTGGCTTATTGGTATGTTGGATTTGGAGATATGCACATGGATAGGACTCGTCCATGACACATAAGATCTGTTTGGATGTTGCTTCTTTTTAGCCTGCAAAACTGATTGCCTCCAGGACAGCCTGGACATGCATCTGGCATATTCTTGACATGGAGAACAAAAAAAGACAACTTACTGAAACTATATAAGAAGAAATTTTGAGAGCAGATAAATCTAAGTAATGCTGCAAGTTTCAGCAAGTGAAGGACTTTCAATTACCTGGAATTGATGTTTTGGAAGCCAAAAATAGTAGCATTATTTGATCAATGTCATGGTTACCTTTTCCTCTACTTCACTGCAACTTCTCCATGTTTCTCCTCGTCACTTTTTGTTTTCCCCTGTTCTTTTGTAATTTCCAAATTTCTGTCTCATTCTCCTGAATCTAAAAAGTCTCTGCATCCTTTACCATTCTGACTAGGGTATTTTTATGGGCAACCTTTATTTTGCTTTTATTAATTGCTGATACTTTAGTACATGATTGTTGCCAATGCGTTCTCTCTTAATTTTCTGAAAAGAATCTGGGTTGTCAATTCCATCATGGCTAGTTTCACTTGCTCGTTTTAAAAGCAGATGTTTTTGGAATGATGTCTAGCTTCAATAATCAAGCTCCTTTGTTAGTCTAAAACATGTAACTTCCAAGTTTTAATGCTGTTGCTGAAATGAAAAAAGAAACATTTTTAACTTGTTTTATTTGGCAATCATTGAATATGAACTAATTTCAAATTATGGCCTCTTTCCTTTTTCACTTCATGTCTTAGAGACGGATGACAGCTGAGGAAAGGAGATCAAACTATGGCTGCGACATAACGTACACCAACAATTCAGTAATTACTTCTAATTCTTTATACTTCCCTCCCTGTGTCTTATTGTCTTTAGTGCTGCCATGGTTGCTTATTGGGCTACTTTCAGTGGTTAATTGATGTAGCTGACTGAAGCAATGCATTTCTTTCCATGTTTCTTTAAAAGTTTTCATTCCCACTATCCCCATCTATTTGTCCACTTGACTCATTTGCCAGGAACTTGGTTTTGATTATCTTCGAGACAATCTAGCCAGTAGCAGTGACCAGCTTGTGATGAGATGGTAAACTTGATTACCTTCACTCTGTGATGTTTCTGGCTGTTCTATTGGGTAATTTGAATTTATTCTCTCCAATTTAGGCCAAAGCCCTTCCATTTTGCAATAGTTGATGAAGTTGATTCCGTGCTCATTGATGAGGGGAGAAATCCTTTGTTGATAAGTGGTGAGGTAATTTTGATATTGTTTTGTTGCTTGATTAGAATGTGCCATTCCAAATCCTCTGCTTCATTGTTTTTTCTGGGGTATTTTGGTAGTTGAGTTATCTGTTGATAGAATCTTTGTGATTCTGCATTTCAGGCAAATAAGGATGCTGCTCGATATCCAGTTGCTGCCAAAGTGGCTGAGCTCCTCATACGTGGCCTTGTAAGTTGAGTTTTCTAGCCTTTTTTCTTGTGCTAGGCCAAGAGTTTTCTTTTGGGTCGCTAAGATCTTGCTGTTATATGATAGAATAAGATTTTCTTGTGTTGACAGCATTATAACGTGGAGCTTAAGGATAATTCTGTGGAACTGACTGAAGAAGGAATTGTGCTAGCTGAGATGGCTCTTGAAACAAATGATTTATGGGATGAGAATGATCCTTGGGCCAGGTGATGTTGGTTTTCTCAAGTGGAAGGTCCAACTAACAAATAATAGCAATTGACGGTACAAC